TTAAATATGCACTTTTAACAACAGTTTGGAAAAAAAAACACTGCCAAATCATAGGCAAAATAAGCATAATTTAGGCTGGTCTTCATATGAAGGAAGACATTCTGATGAACATGAAGCTGAGTGTCGAAGATACAAAGTAAGAAAATTAAAATTTCAAAAGAAGATTATGTGGCCTGAAACTCTGGATAGGCAGTGTGTATTTGGTGCATGCAAATATGGGCAGTGGGAAGTTCATTTCTTTAAAAACGTTTTCCTTTTTTCTTGTAGTTGGTCCTCGTTCAACAGGCACCTGCTCCCATTGGTCAGAATGCTGTTCCTCAAGCACAAGGACTTCCTATAGCATTTCCTGTTCTGCCACAGCAAGATGGCAATCCCCAGCCTCAGGGACAAGCCCCTCAGCCCGTCAGTGGGGTTTACATTTGACCATAATAGTGTTAATATTAGTAGTATTAGTGGTATTTATATAGTATTAGTGTTATTTGTGTAGTATTTATATAGTATTAGTAGATGTAATATATTAGTGTTATCATAGTAGTATTTGTATTATTAGTCTGAGGGTTGGATTATACTCACATATGTAGGACATTAGTATAAACCATTAAAGTGACGTGGTGCGTTTTACACTGGAGTTGCTAGGCTAATGTAGCCAACATGTAATGGGAGCTTATACCCCACGAATTGCATAGTGTGAAAGGGTTCCCTATAAAACCTTACAGTTATTTAGTTAAAAGAAGAACCTTTTTAAAGTCTAAAAGAACATATTAAGGTTCTAAAGATTTAGAATTATTTGAAAACCTTTATTTTTTAAAATGTATGACTGTTATGCATAAAAATACTAAAAAGCATGTCACATAGATAAAAGCAGCAGCAACCAACCTGAAGCCTGAGGTTTGCCCAACTTTTTCATGTTTTAGATAACAGTAAATCATGCAGCATAAGAGACCACATAAGCAAGTTTTTTAAGATTATGTAATGCCTCGACACGGTTTGAGGCTAGTGTGATAATTTAGGCACGCAGCTAGCACCATGCAAATTACAGGGATATGAACTTATATCACTTGTTAGTTACATTTAGCCTTGTAGCTCTAGTGCTAAAACTAAAGAAGTAAACTTTTAGCCAAATTATAGCTTTAACATAGGTCTAATAGTCCTGCATTGTTTTCTAGATTATTCCACTGTTTGTTGTACTACCACAGGCTATTGGAGCAGGTAACAGCCAGCTGGCGAACAGTCCACAGCTTCAGGTAACACCACCAAACCAGCAAGATGAGTCATCACGCACAGCTTTACACAATAGAGATCATTCTGGAACATTAGTCAATGGCTGTGGTTAACTGCATTAGCTGATGATGATGACTGTGTGTGTTTTCTCTCAGCTTATACCTGTAGCTGGACTGAACCTCCAGCAGGGCGGCGCAGCAGCAGGAAAAGCTCGAGTGAAGGTGCAGTACACACGCTTTATACACATGCTTTTGATTAAAAAGCCTTGTTTGGAGCAAAGAACTGCCAATATTAAAACACATTTCATATAATGTTTGGAGCTTGCCATTTTTATTTATTTTGCAGAACTGTTGTAGCTTGGAAAGCAATAGAACACTAGGTTAGGTTGTGTGTTCTCGCAAATAACATCACAGTTGTGATGATCTACAGCGAGAGTTTTACGCATTGTCTTTTTATGTAAGCATTAATTTGAGTACATTTTTTTTGCCCTGGTGCTTCAAGGCTAATGTAGATAACAAGTAATGGAAGTCTATGTCAACAAACATCTTATTCCTCATTAACATGTATTCAGCTAATAAAGTGAGTCTGATTAGCTGGATTCAGAAGCTTTTGGGTGGCATATTTGGTGTTATGAAAATGTTCTACAGTAATATATTTGAATTTTTGCCTCATTTATCTTGCTCTTTAGCACTCTATCAGTAACTGGCTGTTGCGCCCAGCGGGAGACGTTACTACGGTATACGCACACCCACACCCCTTTTATCTTTACTGTGGTCATTATTTCACTGCAGTAAGAATTGTTTCACTGGAAGATAGGTTTAGGATATTCTACTCTAATTCCTGTAGTATTACTATGTGTTTCATCCTTATGAAAACAATCTAGTGTTGCAGGTTGTTTTACTATAAGAATACAAATTTATTGTGATTATTTATTTAACATTGTTTATTTGTGTTAGGTGACCCAAGGTCCTGCAACTCCAGTTTCTACTGCTACTACCATTAAAAATATGGTAATATATTTAACCTACTTGTGCTATGTTAATTTCAATTAAAATTGACTAAAACTTGTTTCAGTCTAAAAAACAACTTGTGATTTAAAGTCACTGCATTAGAGTTAATCCAAAGGCCACCCTTGTTTTAATAATGCTTTTTTTAATCTTTAGGGCGTTAAACCCTCCCTGTGCAGCAAGAGGGACACTACACAACTGAAGTTGTCTCCTTAGACCAAGGCCAGTCCAGTTCTACTATTCACTGCAGCTCATATCAGGCTTCAGCAACTTCTCACCTTTTTTCTGCTATGCTCTAATGCATACTAATGATGTAGTAAAACTGGCAAAGGTAATCAAAATAAACAATAGTGAGAAACTTTTTTGATTCTACATTAATTGACAGTGAGATCAACATGATAGCCATAATATATATATTATAGTGTTCTTCTATTTTTGCAATGTCAAGCCAGTAACAATAGAAGAACCCTTTTTTTGGTGCTATGTAGAATTTAAAATGCGTTCTCCATCAATCTGAAGAACTATTTAATGATGCAAAGAATCATTTAATCAAAGGGTTCTATGGGTGTTCATGGTTCTATATAGAGCCATTTTCTTTCCTACTGTGAGCCTGTTGTTCTTTAGAGGCACACTGATGTTCGCCTTTAACCCTGGGAACCGTGGCTTTGGGCATGTTAAGACTTGGTAAAACTGAACATACAGGAACAGTTAAACCTTTTTTGTGATGGCAACTCCCTGTTAAACACTTCAGTGTAGCTTAAGGCTCGGCTTCTGCGTTCTGATAAACAAAATTCCTCAGCGCAGTTTATTTAGACTCCCATACACTGAATTTTTTAATTAAGACTTTAGCTCTAAAACATTCCTAATTCTCACAAAACAAACAAAGCCTACTGACCAAAATCCATAACTACATTATCCTGTAATTTTCTATGTTTAGGAAAGAATAAACCACCACATTTTATTGTTTTTCTTCATTTTTTGCAATAATTACAGTGTCAAAATGTACTGTATATTCATCGCTGAGAGTCAGACAGTTGGCTGATCAAAAAATAATGCTTTTGCTCTGAATGTGTATGAACAGAGAGATGTAACGGTGGGGTTTATGTACAAAAATACCACAAAAAAAAAGCAACAAAAATTCTGGTTACAATTAGAACAGTATTAACAGACAAATCAACTAGCCTGCCACAACACACTCTTCAAAATAAAGGTGTCCAAAAAAGATTCTTTGGAGTAATGCTATAGAAGAACCACTTTTACTTCCCCTCTTTGAACAGATGGTTCTTTAAAATTTGTAAAGATTTTGTAAATGAGACATTTGAGGAGCCTCCACATAATTGAAAGGGTATATACCAATTAAACGTAGAACCATTTGTCTAAGCCAAGAACCAGAAACCTTTATGTTGCAGAGTGTACCTGAGGAAACAGCGCTGGCTGTTTTACACAAAAGATGACTACTGTTCATTAATAACAGTTTGTTTATTTACACTCATGTGGCAGACTGAAATTGTGTCACTGTTTATCTAATAAGCACTCAGCCGGGCAGAGGAAAAAAAACAAAATAATACCAAAAAATAAATAAATAAAAAAATAGCGGGGGTGTGTGATGTTACTTTGGTTCTGACGGCATGCTTACACTGCAAAAAATTAGTCTCATGCAAGTTTCTCATTGCCAATAGGTTACACATCCTGTACAGAGAACACATTACTGCAAATTTTAGTGTATGACTTGCACATTTTTTCCCTTTCTGAAAATAACATGTTGGAAAAATAAAACCCAACACGACAACTGCAAATGTTTAGGCACAGGCCACATTTTACTTATTTCTTTTTCCCCCCACGGTATGTTATTCGGTAAATAAAAATTAAGCAGAAAACGTCATATTTAAGTATGCTGCCTATAGAGGATGTGTTAAATAAGCATATAGCAATTACAAAACACTTTACATAATACTGTATATCAAGTGAAATCATCTTTGATTCTTATTCAACCTACTTATTGTTTTAAGTAATTGTATCTAGTAAAATGGTCTAATATTTGCTTGTTTTAAGCATTAACTCAAAACAAGCGACATCTGCCAATAGAGTAAGAATTTCACCAGATAAAATTACTAAAAACAAGTAAAACGGACTAGAATGAGGCTGAATCTCATAATATTCTTATTGCAATTTCCTAATGAGAAGTACTGATTAGAATGATTTCTCTTGCAGAGATATTTGCAGTGAAGGTCAGATTAAGTCAGCAGCCTTACACACCCACACTGATGTCACTATTCTTTATGACTTTTGAACACAAACCAAAACCCTGAAAACCATCATCACCTGAAAACTGAATATCTGAATAATGCAAGTACAGAACATGGATGTAAAACAATCATCACGACTCAATGGTCTTACAGTTAACCCAATTAAACCAGGACTCAGAATGCTCCAACACTGCAAAAAATGATTTGATGGCAAGAGGAAGTATCTTCAATCTAGTCAATATATCTAATATTTATCATTAAGAGATTGTTTACACAGTTATTCAACGTACTACTAGATATTTTGCTTGTTTCACATCACAGTAGTTTAATGTGATGTTACTATATTTTAGATAACCACCAATTCATTTCACTAGATAAAAAATAAATGTAAGTTGCATAATCTTTTAATATTCTTACAGCAATTTTATAAAGAGAAATTGTAAATATACTGACCAGATTTAAATTGATCTGACTTGCCAAAATATTTTTGCAATTTACATCTTGGCACCAACACAACAAAGCGGGGGCGAAAGTGAATAAAGCTTTGTGAAAATGGACTGGTCCAGAAACTGTGGAGCTCAGGATACAGAAACAATCCCAGAATCTTCAACAAGTGGTATCTGAGCTCAGGCATTTAGTGTATAAGCGCTGTATGTCAAACTTTTTCCATTTTTTAAACACTTTAAGAGCTTCATATATGCATTATACATGCAAACTGAAAAGAAACACACAAAAATAAAGCATGGTCATTGTTGCAAAGCAAATTAAACCCCGCTCACAATCATAAACCTGACTACCAGCAGCACCTCATCATCGCGCTCCTCCAAAAGGAACTTCCAGCTTAAATGTAAAGAAAACCTAAAAGAAAACCAGAGGAGCAGTTTCCTCCGCAGACCAGAGTGCCGAGTGTGTCTGTGCTGGTGATAATGGCGGGGGACCTGGCCAGCTCCTGCTGTCCATTTAGCTTTTAATAACTCCTCCATCACCCTCACTCACAAAGCGCTTTCGCCCCCTAGTGGAAAAAATATATATTCCTGTTAGCAAAATTGAGCAAAAACAGAAGCACATGTTCATGAACAAAAGAAACAAAACAGGTAAACTGTAATCACAAAAGAACATTTATTTATATACTACATACAGTGCTCAGCATAAATGAGTACACCCCCTTTGAAAAGTAAGATTTTAATCAATATCTCACTGAACACAAGAACAATTTCCAAAATTTTGACAAGACTGAGTTTCATAGAACATTTGTTTGACCTATAACCATGGAATAAGGTTAATAATATAACTTAGATTACAAAATCTTCAGTTTTACTCAAATTAGTTGATGCAAAAATGAATACACCCCACAACAAAAACTACTACATCCAGTATTTTGTATGACCATTATTTTTAAGGACAGCACCAAGTCTTCTAGGCATGGAATGAACAAGCTGGCGACATATTGAAACATCAATCCTTTTCCATTCTTGAAGAACAACCTCTTTTGGGGGCTGGATGCTGGATGGAGAGTGATGCTCAACTTGTCTCTTCAGAATTCCCCATAGGTGATTGGGTTCAGATCAGGAGACATACTTGGCCACTGAATCACTCTCACCCTGTTCTTCTTCAGAAATTCAACAGTGGCCTTAGATGTGTGTTTCGGATCATTGTCATGCTGGAAAGTGCATGACAACCAAGGGCACAGAGTGATGGTAGCATCTTCTCTTTAATATAGAGCAAAACATCTGTGCATTCATGATACCATCCATGAAATGCAGCTCCCCGACACCAGCAGCACTCACGCAGCCCCACATAAGGACACTGCCCCCACCATGTTTCACTGTAGGCACCATGCATTTTTCTTTGTACTTCTCACCTTTGCGACGCCATACAGTTTGGAAGCCATCAGTTCCAAAAATTTATCTTGGTCTCATCACTCCAGAGTATAGTGTCCCAGTAGTCTTCATCTTTTTCAGCATGGGCCCTGGCAAAATCTAGGCATTTTTTTTTGTGCATGGGCTTTAGGAGAGGATTCCTTTGAGGACGACACCCTTGCATGCCATTCCTGTGCAGTGTACGCCGTATTGTGTCACCCCAGATTGTCTTTCTACTTCTTTAGCTAACTGCAGTGAACTTGCATGGCGATTTTCATCAAGCCTTCTCATCAGAAGACGCTCCTGTTTAGGTGATAACTTCCGTGGACGGCCTGGACGTCTTTGGGAGATAGTTGCAGTTCAATTTTTGTTAGATTTTTGTATCACTTTTGCTACAGTATTCTGACTGATAAGTAAAGCTTTGCTGATCTTCTTGCAGCCTTCACCTTTCTTGTGTAAAGAAATTATTTTCTTTCGCAGGTCTTGTGACATTTCTCTTCCATGTGGTGCCATTGATGACAGCATGAAATGGGAAAGAGTTTTCTTTGTTAAGTAACGCCCTTTTATAGTCAACTGTCTGCTGGACACCTGTTTAATGAATAATTAGACTCACCTGTGGTTGTATTTTGTAGTCTAAACTTTAGCTGTGCTCCTAAGACTTTCATTGGGGTGTACTCATTTTTGCAACATGAATGAATTTGTTAGGAAAATTACTTTTTTGTGTGTGCAAATTAACACATCTTGTTTGCAATCAGTGACCCACATTTGTGGGAGTATTTTGTAGTATAGTATCCCATAGAAAATGTTGATTCTGAAAGGAAACTACAGGTTTTCTGATAAAGCTGTTGGGGTGTACTCATTTATGCTGAGCACTGTATCTTATTTGATATATTTGATTAGATTTTATTAAAAACTTTATATAATCATGAGAATAAATGCACAAAGTAAAAAGAATTTGTTTTCAAAAATTTTGTTAATATGAGTTGGTGAGAACACCACCGGTTTGGTTCCAGATTTCTCCTCAGATTCACCCTAGCCATCGCACACAGACTGTTAAATTTCTGCAAGCATAATCAATTAATTAATCCATACAACTACGATCATCATAATCTCAGACCTTGACCCAATTAATATCACTTTCCCAGCAGAACATCAAACCCTTCCTTCACCCAGATGCTGCTTTAATGCTTCTTTACTTAATGATTCTTCAAACACCAAAAGAAAAAAACAATGACATTGTAGCATTTACATTCTGGGAAACTGCAAAGCTGTAACGAGAGGAAAAAATTTCTTACTGCTCTTGAACACAGAAAAAAATCCAGAACATAAGAGTAGTTTGGAGAGGCCATTGAAAAAGACTTTCGGTTGGCTTCAAAGTATTTCTGGACAACCATTCAGCAACTCCGGAGCAGTTGGAGTAGCTTCGCTCAAGCTGTACTCAGCAAAGGCAGAGAAACTTGAATGAGGATATTGTTGGTCAGTGGAGGGAGCACTTTGAGGAACTCCTAAACCCAAGAGACAAGCTTCCCTCACAGCAGTCAGGACCAGAGGCTTCTCTACTCCATTTCCCTGGTGGGGGTCACTGAAGTAGTTGGCAAGCTCCTCTGTGGCAAGGGACCGGGGGTGGATGAGATTTGTCAGGAAATGCTTAAGGCTCTGGATGTTGTAAGGCTGCCATGGCTGACAGACTTCTGCAATGTTGCATGGACCTTGGTAAGAGTACCCTTGGACTGGCAGATCAGGGTGAAGGTCCCATTTTTAAAAAAAAGGGGACCAGAGAGAGTGTGCTAATTACTGGGATTTCACAGCATTTAGCCTCATTGGGAAAGTTTGTGCCAAAGTACTGGAAAGGAGATTCAGACGGATAGTTCAACCTTGGATTGAGTAGGACGCAAATTCCGTCCCAGCTGCGGAACAATGGACCAGTTTTTCCTCCCTCTCGTGGATTGTTGAGGGGGCATAAAAGTTTGCTAACCCAGTCTACATGTGCTTTTTGGACTTGGAGAAGGCTTACAGCCGTGATCCCCGAAACATTCTGTGGGAAGACCTCCGGGAGTATAGGGTGCCAGGGCCACTTCTCCGAGCCATTCTGTCTCTGTATGCCCAGAATGAGAGCTGTGTCAATATACTCGCCTTAAAGTCAAGTTCGTTCAGTGTGGGTGTTGGACTCCACCAAGGTTTTGTCTTGTCTCCATTCCTGCTGGTGATCTTCATGGACAGGGTGTCAAGGCGCAGCCAAGGTCAGGGGGGCATTATCTGTGAAGGTTGTGTCTTTGCTTTTTGCAGATGTTGTCCTTTTGGCTCCATCACATAGATGAGTGCGAAATGGTTAATATGCGGAGTTCATAGACCTCTCCCAGTAAAGGATGACATGCCCTACTTGACAGGTTGAGGAGCTCAGTCATGCAGGAAGACCTCAAATTAGAGCCACTACTCCTTGACATCGAGAGGAGCCAGTTGTGGTGGCTTGGGCACATCATTAGGACGCCCCTTGGCTGCCTACCGTCAGATGTTTACCAGGCATGGCCGACTGGAATGAGACCCCAAGGTCGCTGGAGGGATTTTGTCTCCAAGTTGGCCTAGGAGCGGCTCGGGATCCCCCAGAATGAGCTGGAGGATGTTGCAGGGAACAAGTTCATCTGGGCTTCTCTGCTTTCCCTTAGCAACTGCGACCCTAGCTGGATCAAGCAGGTTAAGATGATGAAGATGGAGATGAAGGTAACTTGAATAACAGCAATATTTTTCCAAACAAGTCACCATCCATATTGGCATCCCTCGATGCTGAAAAGGCATTTGATGGGGTACAGCAGTCCTTTCTCTTCACCTCCCTCAAACACAATGGATTCAGCCCATATTTTATCAACTGGATTAAAACTTTAAACAGTGCACACAATACCTCTGTTATACATTTCAAAACCATTACAGCTATAAAGAGATTCCTGATATAGTGTTAGCCATCTCCATTACTGAATTGTCAGAAAAGCATCTGTAGTACCCCAATGACTCACTCCAGGGTTAAGACTGATTCATTTCCATAACTGTTTGTCTTTTCATTGAACCCATGGCCTCTTCCAAAGATGAAGTCTTTATACCACCATAAAATCGGTCAGTATGCCGAGGTTCAGGATGCACCATTTAAACACATAGCAGAATGTGTTAAGCATTTTGGTATTCATATCTCCCCAAACCCAAATGATTGTACAATCCCACCTATGCCCTTTTACTCAAAGAAATAAAAGCCAATGTAGAAAGATGGAACTATCATTATCTTTAATTGATCGTGTGTAAAATTCTGAGAAAGTCCTGCCCCAGATATTGTTGCTACGTCCATCAAACTTCTAGCTCAGGCTACCTGGTAGCACTTGTACAAGCAGACAAAACATTCAGTACAAAGGAACATTTAGAAGCATAGAGGAGTACAACTGCAACAATTTTCATTCAATAATAAACGGTCTTCACAAAATGTTCAGTGTAGACATTCACTACATGGCCAAAACGGAATAGACTCTCCTAATAATTGATTTCAGGTGTTTCAGCCATACCTATTGCTAACAAGTGTATAAAATCAAACACACAACCAATCTTCATAGATAAAACACTGACAGTAGAATCATCAGGACCCCAACAGGACCACCACAGAGCAGTTAGTATTCAGGCTGTGGATCATTCTTGGCACTACAGCGACAGTAATGTGGTGGTGGAGTGTCACTGCAGTGCTGAGAATGATCCACCACCCAAATAGTACCTGCTCTATAGTGGTCCTCATCACTGAAGCAGGGTAAAAAGGAGGCTAACAAAGTATGCAGAGGTAGTTTTGCACTGTTAGGGGTCCCATGTACTCAATATCCTCTCCTCTTTTGGAAAACATTCCCCTTCCTTATAAATTTTTCAAAAATATCTCCTGAAAATTAATAATCTGTACTTAAGGGCTGGAAGTTCAATAAACTAAAAGTGGTCTCTGATTTTGCACAGTACTGTATATATGCAATACATTTAATAACACAAACAGCTGCAAACATACTGGTAAACATAAAGCCTGTGTGAGAGAAGTATGCTTAGTTGAACATTTTAATCATGATTTGGGAAAGAGCTGTGTGTCTTTATGCGAGTTGTACCTGGCAGGACAGGCGTCTCTGAGCTGTTTGGTAATAACAGACTCCTGAAAGCATAAATCCACAAATGCCTCCATGATGGAGTGAGCGCGAGGAACGTCCAGATTAATCTCTGGCAGCTCGTCATACACACGCTGGAATCCCTGCAGTGACCAGGACAGATTAAAATCAATAACACACACACACACACACACACACACACACACACACCCCTCACAGAGCAGTGGAACAAGCCACCTAGTGCCAAAGGACAGTCATTACAGCAGGTACAAACTAGCAACCCCTTGTACCACTCCCTGGTGGTTGTTACAGCTGGTACAAACAATCAGAACCTCTATTACAAAATGTTTTTTTCTATAAAACGATACTAAAGTAGGCAATCAGAAGTAGGTTATGTTCTCCAACACACCCAGATGCTGTATCCATGTTTGTTGGTAATTCCTACAGCGTTCTTTCCCCATTCATGCAGTTACAGAATATTCCTTCCCTGCTTTACAATGTTCTAAAATGTTCTCCTGCTGAATCACACTGTTCTACATTGTTCTCCCCATAAAGATAGATGTTCTGGAATGTTTCCAACCCATTCGTGCTGTTCTAGAATGTTCTCACCCATTCATTTGTTTCAGTTTGTATTCTGGCGTAAGATAAAGCTCACTGCAACCACTAGGATGCTGATGTGTGTTGGAGTGTGTTAGGTCAGTGTGCACCATTTACTTGTGTCTTCCACCCACTGTTTCATGCACATGAGTCATGAATTTAGTGTACAGCAGGGTTGGAAAGAGTACAAGTATTATTAAAGAAAATTACTTAAGATTATACAACAGTTAGTTCCAGCCACGCAAGCTGATTGGTTGAGAAGCGTTCTAGCCGTGCTGTTTTTTCGCCATAACATCACGTTTTTTTCACAAACACTATCACTCCACTGAGACACCGCTGCTAAGCAACGAGTTTGACAGATGTAGGAGACGCTCAAGCCATTTGAACGTTTTTACTTCTTACTTTGCACACAAACAGAAAATGAATACTTTTAAAGATCACATTTGACCTACAGCTGATTTGGTCAGACTCTGAAGATGAGACTACACTAAATTCCGAAACTGTCGTTACCACTGAGCAAGCTTTTCAGTCGGCAGCTGTGACAGAAGAAAACCTAAACAACCTGGAATTAGCCAGACATGAACCGAATACCATTCGCCAAACGTGTAGTCTCATCTTCAGAGTCTGACCAAATCAGACTGAGCCATAAAACTGCCGTAATAAAAAACAAAAAAGCTTGCTCAGTGGTAATGACCGTTTCGGAATTTAGTGTAAGGAGCTGGAGAACGAACTGCTGGCTGTGCAGCGAATGAGCAGAGTCCGTTACTCTGACGTAGCAACAAGCTGCTTGTTAAGGAACTATAATTTGGCGGAAGGAATTGATGAGATTAAAACATTAAGTGCCACATTCGAGGCCCAATTTATTTATTTCTTACTTTATTTATTTAACTGTTGTATAAAAGCAATAGAACACCCGAGGTTGTGCGTTATCGCATCTGCAATGCTCCCTCTCGTGTTCTATCGCATAAGTAAAAACTGTCGTTAACTGGAAAATTACTAGACAGCGAGAGAGGGAGAGCTCTGTGATGAACTGACAAAACAGTAGATGCTGAGGCGTTTTTAAGAAAATACTTCTGACACCTCAAAGTTTTTTCTACAATCAGACTGAACGATGATATGAAATTTAAAGCACAATACTTTACATTCTGGCGCATGACGATCTGATGCCTGGGCTTGTTTCTTACAAGGCAGCACCCATTTTGTATGCGACAAAAGAACTTCACATACATAAGTACATGTGCACATAGCCCACCACTCAGATGCAGGTGAGATTATTTTTAAGGCCAGCAAGTCTTAAAAAATAAAACAACAAATATAAGTAAATAAACACAAGTGAAAAACAAGTCTGAGTACCATAGAATTATGGGACAGTTTATGGGAAAATAATTATTTCTTTACTAAATTTCATGAATCCCAGCCTTACATAGCTGTATCTTCTCTAAACTGTGACAAAGCTGCCCCTAAAGAGTTTATATTTGCCCTGTATTGCCCAACATGTGCTTCTGTTTGAGCCACCACAAATCAAAACATGAGAGCCCACTGCATGCAATAGTTTAAACTCCCATCAGCCAAGTAGTTCTGACAACCCAGTTCAGTTAGCATTCAGCAGTTCACTCACCCTGTTCATCTGGTCCAATGTGATGAGGCCTGATTTCCAGAATGCCTGCAGAAGCTTCACCATCAGCTGAATTGCTGTCTCTCCATTAGACTCCAACACCATAACTATTGCCTAGAGAGACAGATCGAGAGAGACTATTATACCAAGAAGTGAATATAATGGTATACTGGACCAGTTTTGCAACTATTTCACTTACAGAACACCAAACATAATTCAATGTGGACCAAACACACTGACTGACCGATCCATTGTTTAATTACTGGTGACTCACATAGCTTGTGTCGCTGTTGAAACAATATTTGTATGTCCAATTTTGACCAACAGAAAATGTTTCAAAATTATGTTTCAAAATTATTATAATCACACTAAATGGTTCCAAAATTTAATAAGTCAACAAGAATGTGAAAGACAAAAAACAGTTTAAATTATCATTAATTGAAGGAAAAAAAAGTTTTGCAATACCTACATCACTGACAAAGTAACTGCCTCCTAACATTAACTCTTTGTGCCACCTTTAGCAGCAGCAACTACAACCACAGCATCTCAAGGGGGTTCAGATAAGCACTTTGACTAGGCCACTAGGCAGCAAAGCATTCCAAAAGGCTTGGAGGTCAAGGTGTTTTTTGGCAAATGCGAGACCAGCTTTAAGTTCCTCTTGGTTAGCAGGCCTGCAGGTCCTTAGATGTTCTTCTGGGTTCTTTTGTGACTTCCTGGATGAGTCATTGCTGTGCTTATGGAGGAATTTTGGTATGCTTGCTTTTTTGAAGACATTCACCACTGTTCCAAGCTTCTTTCAATAGACATAATGGTATTCACTGTGCCAGAGCCTTAGAAATATAACCCTTCGCAGCCCGATATGACAATCTTATCCTACTTCACTTAAATAGAACCTTTCCAGCAATGTGATGTTTGGCTTCAGCAGGGTTGGCAGTAATCAAGCTGAGTGTGTCTATGTTAACTGATCCCAATTATCAACAAAACTTGGTTATGGGCCAATTGGTGTTGGATAACTTTTTTTGCCTTCAATAAATGAATTGATCATTTAAAACCTGTATTGGGTGCTTACTCCGCTTATCCTTATTTTATGATCATTTATGATTGAAGTTTTGAAACAATTATGACAAATTCTGTGTAACATCAGAGACAGCTGGAATTCAAACTGTCAACACTTCACTACACAAAAATAAATATTACACACAAAATTTATTTACACACACATACACACACACTTTATGTATATTTTATATAGCAAGAAACTGCTGAAACAATAACAATATAAAATACACCAGTCATCTTTTAAAGAATACTTTGCCAAAAAGACACTCAAAAATGTATTAGGTGCATTGTGTTGAGTACGGCACAACTACTACTGGTGCCATTGTATTGACAAATAATGGTACCTCATAGACAAGCTCATGGTGGAAGTGAGGCACCTCGAGGTCCCTCAGGCAATGCTCTGCCTCCAACAGCTCACCTGAGACCAGGTATTCCTTCAGCAACAGGTTCATCTAACACACACACACACACGCACACACATATACACATTATATATATTTTAATTACATTACATACTCTTCTAATCTTAGAGTACATAGCCACAAAATACTAATAGTATTACTAATTAGTAAACTGCTGCATAAGAGGAACTTCTGTTTAACCCATTAATGTCAAACAACTACAATTAGTATGATGAATGAAACTGCCACACAAATTGCTCTGATTGGTCTAAAATGATTGAATTTTATGTACCACAGACACAGGCAGTTATCTACCATTAACATTTAAAAGTTTTTTGAGTACACAATCAAATATGGATTTTCTATTGTTTTCTTAACAATCAGTAGTCCCATATAAGGAATATGATAAATTACGAAATAACTTAATAAAACTGACTTTGTAGCCAAATTGAAAAATTCCTTCAGATGTCAAACCACAAGAGGGCGACACACACTTGATCATGAGTGAGATGCATCACAGCCACAGGAAAAAGAGGAGAGCAGTTACGGGGACAGAGGATGTTTACTGTATATTAAGATGGTTTTACTAGCTGCAACAGCAACTTAGCATTATTAATACTGCCATAATTATTGTAATAAATCAATACACATAGTAAAGCGTAAAGGCGGTTACACACCAAGTGAAGCGCAAATAATGGCACAAAATGCAAATTACTGGGGCACTTTGGTTTTCTTCATGCCAGTGTCAGAAACAGAAGTAATTGGGCAAGCAAGTTTTTATCGCCTGCAAAAGTTCACAAAAATTCAACAGGGAGTAAAATTCAACTGGCCTACATCAAACTATCAAAATAGAACATCATTATGAAGCATTACAATGGTAATGACAATTAAAAGCAGTGGGCATTATGATTCAATTTTCTCTGCTTTTAATGTAGGACAAACCTTGGTAACTCAATGTAATGTCCCATTGAAAGTACTTTTTTTGTTACCGCAATTTTCAATTAACATACATAAATAAAATAAATAAATATATAAATACATAAATAAATAGATAAATAAATTTAAAAAAAAAAAAAACTGTACCTCTTTGATGAGATGTTTGACGGGTCTCTGGCCGCCACCCACTCCCCACACATTATCCAACCGCACCATCTCTCTCTTCATTGACAGCAGCACGGATGCCCGATCCAGAGCAGCTCTACACACACACACACACACACACACACACACACGAATACTACTGAATATTACAAAATAGTGTAATTCCACAAGCCAGGCTTGCTGTGCAGTATCAGAGTAAAATGCATTGATCTGAAGGTGGTGATTCACCTGCAATGATTTTGGAATGTTAGAAACTATCACAACAATAAAAGACTCATAATCTTAAACAAACACAACACACACACACACACACACACACACACACACACACACACACACACACACACACACCAACAACAACATAATTTTGGCCTATGTTTGAAATGTAACTAAAAATTTGCTTGAGCTATGATAATATTCAATTAAACATGCACTCTTTTTTTTTTAATTCTCAGGCTCATTTCCAAAAGTAAATTGTACTGTTTTTGTCCATTTTCCACCACTGCAAAAATAGTTCCTTGCGTTGAATGTGTTGTGTATTTTTAAATTTAATTCTGTATCTTAATAAAATAATAAAATGCAATAGGTTTGGATGCATTACATCCTGCATTAAATATGTGCTGTCCAGTGACAGAGATGGGATTTCCCTGCACCTGCAGTAAATCTGAAGTATAAAGTATTTTGTTGTGTATGTGTTGCCAATGAAACACTTCCACAACCATCACCCAACATCGTAAATAAATGTTCAAGTAAAAATTCAGCATCTTATCTGTTTACTGATGGAAATGTATGGGAGACAAGTGAAGGTCTAGTATGAATATAGAACTACATGATCAACTATGCACTGGTGTTCTCTGAAACACAGACATACCTGGCATGGTCACAGTCCACTTTGCCTTTATAACGGTTGAGGAAGTTCATTGGTAAAGCATGGTCCGCGATGGCTCGCGCAATAAACTGGCCAAGCATCTGGAGACACACACACACTTTCAGCGAGTCTATATCATGTCGAAAGTCTGTCCCTTGTGTATTTTGTATGGTGTGTGAAGATTAAAAAATAATAAATAATAATAATAATAGAAAATTAAGGAATCATGAAGAAGGGAAAACAATGACAAATGCATAATAATAAATAACAAAAACTTAAGTCATTTTCTTCTATATTATCTATTTAATGTCTACACAAAACTTTCCACCATTTAATCTAACTCCTCTCTGTTCAAATTACTATTTTAAACAAGTAAACAAATGCACTTCATAATTCAGAGGCCTGCAATTGTTCCTTTGATGAAAAAGACTGAGAAGTGTTTCTATAAATGATGTGAATTGTGTTCTAAATGTGTGCGCATGCTCGCTCAGAAACTATTACTGCTCATCTAACCTAAGGTAGTATAGAGCTTCTTTTATATAGTGATAGAAAACACGGTAGCACACAGAAAGCTCCAATTCACATGCTGATCGATGTTACTGGTTATACACACTTTAATACACACATTTACTGTTAATCCCCTCATCCATGTACTTTACTTTTTTGTACATTGCTACTATTTTCTTGTTCATTTATTTTAAGTAGCATAGATACCATTCTTGTATAACTAACATGTTTCTCTCCTCAACCATTTACTGTAATTAGAACACATGCTATTCTTCTTGTCTTTTTGCTGTAGGTAGAACAGATGCTATTCTGATCTCTTCCCTGTAACTGGCACAGATGCTATTTTTCTCATCTGATTAATTAAATATTGCCAATTCTGTTTTCTGGAACTTTGCATAAGTTTTTGTTTGCCATACCTGCGGAGCCTCAGGTGTGTCCAGGATGAGGTCTGGAAGCTCTTTGAGCATTTTGTCAAAAGCTCGGGCGACGTCGCTCTCAGACAACACCTTCCCCACCAGGTCCGATAGCAGGCGGGATGTCAGCTCACGGTGACTTGCTTTACCCTCCAGAGACAAAGACACCGCCAGAGAGGAAAACTCATACTTATGGGGACCCAGATTCAATTCCTTCAATAGCATCTGGGAGAAAAGAGCGAGAGAACGGCGAGAGAAATGGCAAAGTAAGAATCCTCAACAAGAAGTTTCACGAAAAAAAAGAAAAACAAAAAGATATAAATGGAAATAACAGTAAAAAATGAGGAGCAACTTTGATACGGTGTGAATGAATGAGCAGTGTGTATAGTTTCCATAGCCCAGCAGTAACAACTGTGGTGTGAATGGTCTACTGTAATCGTCTAAACCCAGAGCACCTTCAGAAATAGCAGCCCTGTTCCAATCCACCTCATGCTAATTGATAACAAAGCCTACCAATAAACATGCCTGTGAAGCACATTGTTATTAAGTGGGTTCTGTGGCGTAACAATGACATGAACATCACTAATCTCATCCACAGGAGGCCAACGTGGTTACAAGTTTTCATTCCAACCAAGCTGGAGCACACTTCAAACAGCTCACCAACTGCTTGAAGACTGGGACCAACTGATTACGCTAGTGGAATCGTCTGCTCCTACTAGAATTAAATGAAAACCACACCGACCCCTTGTGGCCAAGATTGGTGCCACTTGATTTATGCCATCTGTGGGAATTTGAGGAAATTACACAAACACTTAACCCCAATCAGCCAATGAAACATTACATTACATGAGTTCTTCTGGAAAAACTAAACCAGTTACAGCAGGGTGAAAGACATAAAACAGATCTAGAGAGAACGGACCTCATATCTAGAGTTTCATTTCAAGCTGCAACAATTTACCTCTTTCCCCTCACTTACCTCCACCTCTCTGGTGTCTCCATGTTCAAAGTACTCCTGTACTATCGGGTTAACTGTCTTCTCCAGCTCACCCTCCTCTAGTTCAGGGACAACTGTGGCATACACTGTATCTCCCTACACATGCAGAAACACAGATACACTGTATGATTCTGTAGTTTTACACGCCACCCATTAGTACAGTCCAAACCGCATACCTAAATCATGACAATCTAAATAGTGCATAGTGCAAAATGGGCTTGAGCTTTTTGCACTTTTCTGCAATGTCTCCTATGTGCTATAGCTTTATTTTGTACAGTCTGCTACCCGATGCTTCTCCTCTGGTGTGTAGTAGCCTTAGGTCGGTTATGCTTCATTCTTCGGACTAAAAATATAAGAAAACACAGACCAATACGTAAGACACAGGCTCTTCACTGCCCTCTGGTGGAGTATGAAGTTCAGACTTGTTTTGGCTTTTAAATAATTCAACATTTGAGCATACACAAAAGCTAATTTTGAAATAAAAAATAAATAAATAAATAAAAAAAATCAAGATTTAATTATGTTTTTTCTTGTAACTTTTCATGACTATCTGAATTTTCAAATCTTCTGACCTCTTCCTAATCATATCAAATCAAACACTCACAATTTTGTGAATTGTTGCACCCTTATTTTCAGAGCTATTGTTTTGACCAGCACTAACATTTATGAGCACAAAATCAAAAAGGGAAAGACATGACGGGTGGAGGGAAAGGGGGGGCTGGGGAGGGATACTGCAACTTCTAAAGCTTTTCAATAACACTGATTCACCTTCCTGTTTTGCTTCCTTTACTTAAGTAGCCCTCTGTGCGTGTAAGCATAGTTATCTTAGACACGCTCATGAGGGAACAGTATTCTAAAATCAGGCTGGAGTGAACACACTGGACTCAATCTGATGTACAAGTGTAAAATCAAGTGTGAACAACAGGGGTGTAAATATACAGGTCACTGCCAGCTTTGATTTCATTCAATGCAATTTTCAATGTTTTCTGTGTAAAATGTTCTTTATTCTAAAGAGCTCCAATTCTATACCACACGGATTGGTTTGGGCCAGATAAAAAGTTCTCCAACTGAAAGATTGCAGCACATGCTGTGGCACCCTCTAACATAATTAACACATGACAACCTTTAGAATTTATAAGCTCTTAGGAAGAAAAGCCCAGTCATTTAAGCATGGGTGCGTCTGTAGCATAAGCCCCACCCCTTCCCCCAGTTACTTTACTCTGATAGGCTGCATCTCGATGCCTAATTTTGTTTAATGACAGTGGTTTCCACGAAAGGCGATAAATGAGAGACACTAGGAAGAGAGCATGAGGAGTATCTGTACAACACTGTACTGAAATTGTTACACTCTTTATTAATAAAAAACTGAACATCAAGACAGATAAATTATGTATTTACAGTCTGTCTTTCTTTTAACAAGTTCAGGACTTTATGCTAAAGCCTGGAATCAGCAGATTTACTGGGATCCTGCCTTTCTGACGAGCTTCCACTTTAACACAAAGCACAACACACACTCACAAACACACACACACACACACAACTACTCCTGTCAAAACAACCCATCCTGCAGAAGAACAGCAGCCCAAATAAACTCCCTTCCCTGCATTAAAGAGCCCATACCCTAAATGTGTCCTCTATTCTATTTTCCCCCCTTGTGTCCACTTATGTTTGTGTGGGTTTATGTTACTAATACAGTATTTCAAACAACAGGCTGTTTATAACTGTACCTTTAAAGCTGATATGCAAATGCCCTCTGATTTAAATGCCTTTCACTTCAGCATGAATGGGTGGAGCTAAACTACATTCGGAATGGGGGGGGTAGGCATTGCTTTAATACAGGCCTGCAGATCCTAAAATGAGCCTCAATAAGGTAAAGTGTAAGAGAAAATCCCCAGCCTTGTACTCACAGGCCAGACAAGAAACTGACTGTGCGAACACATGACGTGCAGGTGTTGTCCATCTACAGCTCCCACCTGTATACAGGTGCATTACCTGAGCAGACTCGTCGTAGTTTGGATCTTTGGCATCTGGCTCCTCCATCTCATACACCATCCCTGCAGCTCCCCACACACCTTTACCCCCTGCTCCACCTGAGCACAGTGAATATACTAAAACACTCTTCACCTGCAAATACATTTTTCTCACACCCTGTTTAGGAATGGGTATTATAACATTTTCTGCTATGTACTTGGGGGGAAAAGTGTCCTCTCCATTATCAACACTGCCAAAATAATCTTTACAGCCAGGGATATACTGTTTTTTTTTTAAAAAAAAAAAAGGTGAATCTTGAACTGAAGTGGGCACTCAATAACATGTTTATTTATTTGCTAATTACTGTGAGAGAATACATATGTGTGTGTAATCTTTTTAATCTAACATTCCAAAATTAATGGAGCTGAATCTTCACCACCTTCAGTTCCAACTGACCTTTTTTGGGCAGTCCACGGCCCTTGCCAGTGCGTGACTTTCGGTCGTGGTTTTGGAGGGCTTTCCCTTTGGGGCTGTGGGGGTCTGCCCCAGTTTCCCCAGCAACAGCCTCAGACAGACTCTCGCGGGCAGAGTCACGGGATGAGGACTTCCTCAACCTCCGTTTTGCTTTAGCCTTCAGTCGAGCTTCATGCAGGGCTTTCTCCTGAGGGGTCCAATTACCATTAACCTCTCCTTCATTCAGCTCTTCATCATCATACACACCATCATCATTCTCTTCTTCCTCCAGCTGCAACACACCTACAGCACAAAGAAACAGAGGTACAGAAGCATTTTAGAGAACACGGTAGATGGAAACCCAGATATTAATGATCAGCTCCAACCTTCAAAAACCTCTGCGCTTAAAGCATTAGTTCAGCAAAAAAATTAACAAAATAAAAAGTGAATGTACCCATCAGGCAATGACAAAGACGTTTGGTATCTAAAGTTTGTCTTTATTTTACGCTACAGTTACAAGGCTACTGTAGCTAACATGTAATGAAGCCAAAACCCCACCAATCATCATGGTGCTAAACAGCATACGTAAAAACCCAAATCAAAGACAGACTTGCTTGTGTTTTTTGACACTATGCATACTGTTAGCCGCATCTAAACATGGACTAAAAAAATCTTAGCATAGCTAAAAACAGCAATTCTACTAATTGTTTGGCTGTTCTAAGTTGATTCTAGCCCTATGTGTAACTTATTAAAAATAAAACACACATCTCAGCTTAATTTGCTAGATTAGCTTTTGGGCTACATAATTAGCTTATTTGCTACAAACATCCTAACTTCATTAGACAGATTAGTCATCAGGCCAGCTTGATGTCTAAACTACAGGGTAAAAAATATACACTTCAAAATCAAGGATGTTCAGCTAGTTTATATTAAACCCAACTGCTACATGTAATTCATGTCCATCAGATTTAAGGTCTTTGCTTAACATGAGTAGTTTTCAGTCTGTACAACATGAAACTCAAGTGCTATGTGAGTCCCAGTCAACAAATTCATTGAGGTCATCAGCTGACCACAAATTATCTCTATTAATATTAATATGACGAGCTGCTGGGGAACACCCTGTATGCAGTTGCATTAAAAACCTGAATAACTTGATCCTAGACCTATCATACACACACGCACACGCATGCACGTACAGATGGGCTCTCAAAAGCTTTCCCTTATATCGACACTCTTCACATTAACTTTATTAAAAGTTAAGCATAAAATGTTAAGCTACTTTAGAATGGATTTACATTGTATTTACATTGCTATAGTTGAATAAGGAGAGTTTGGTACATGGGACTGACACACCATGAACCGCAAACACTTGTCTTCTGCTTCAAATGCAAATCCTGCTTATGCAAAAGATGGCAGTATAAACAAGCCAATTCCAAAATTCTTAACTGTTATATAAAAGTTTTGACTCATTAATATTTACACCCCCAAAATTTACACACACCAGCCCATGTCCTAGCTGAGCAGGAAATAACGGCAATGGAGCAAAAGCAATGAAAACAGTGGACTATTTGCAGAAACTGTACCATTCAAGTCTGTGAAAGGATGTCGTTGCTTTGCGTACCTTTCCCAAAGAATCGAACTGTCAACGGGCATGGTTGATTTTCATCTTTTAATGAAGCTGAAGTTGGCTTCCTATTCTCCAGTTTCTTGATGGATTGTTCCGTTCCACCTTAAATGCTACAGCTTATACAGTTGCCAGAATGTAACTGCAGCACCATTTAAGGTAGAACTGAAATATTGCAAAACAATGCAAATTTTTTTGTTTGGCTGTTCACATTACCTTTAAACATGCTCTATATGGGACATTAGTCTGAACAGATCATGCTCCCAAACTGACCCGTATGCGCAAAAGAACAATGCTTCACGTTGCCTCGAGCTTTCAGTTTCATCTTCGCCAGCATCATGAAGCTTCATTGACTGACAGCTGGGCTCATCAGCCAGAATGTGTTCGAGTTTGCAGTAAAAAGGGTGCAGTCACTTCTTTGGTTCGCGTCCTCGGATTCTTTAAACTTTGCTTTCAGACTTTTCCTTGACGCTGCAGCCTCGCTCTCCTATGACCACATTCAGTCACCTCTTTTAAAATCTATTCAAACAAGGAACAGTTGCGATAAGTCTCCTAGAGTTTTTTTGTACAGAAACATCAGCCTAAATGTTTTTGAGGTCTCAGCAGCGAAATTATGACAAACGTCAAGTTGGATTGACGTGAAAATCAATGGGTTGAAGCCCAGGTCATCTTAAATTGAAAGTTTCATAGTGAGCAAACAATTTTAATTGACTTAGTGTTGTTGTCGAAATCGAAAGTAGCTAGGTAACACTGGCTGCTAGAAGGCTCGAAGTAACTAGCATAGCTAATTATACAGTACGACAACCTAGCTTATTTATAAAAAGGTTTTTTTTTTCCCTGCCCGTGTCTGTTATGACATGCAGCTTATGTGTCCGCCATCGAATCACTGTAAACCAGCAAATGGGAACCAAGGTCATCAAATTACTCACGGGTCCACCGAAGAAATCTTGCTTCATTCTAAAGCCTAGAGCTGGGCGATATGGCCAAAAACATTATCACGATAAACAAAATTCATATCGTTCGATATCAATACATATCGCGATAAATGTCAAATCATGATTTCTTTCACGTTTGTAGGCTGATTTTGCTCCTGGGTGGTTTTAAACTATCACTTATGGTCCGATCATGACAAACACTCGGCAAACAGTGGAACATTTCACAAATCTGTCATGGAAGAGTGGGAGAAGGTTTCTGAGCTGTTGTTATCAGCTTGAAAAACACAGCTGCAATTTTTGTAATAGTCATGATTTAAGAAAAAAAAAAGATTATTTTTAGCTGTCTGGTGACGAGCGCTTGGCTACCCCGTTACAAATGCTAAACAAGTGGCCAACAACAGCGCTAAACTCTTTAGTTTCTCAACAACGACAATTCAGTTCGGTAGGTCACTGCTGTCACTCCTACCACATCCATGTCAGAGCATATCACAGTAGTCAGACACCAGCTAGCAACGACTCGGTTTCTCTATGCTATCGCAGTAGTTTAAGGGGTGAACTGCAATATATCTGACGTTCGCTGTGTAAAAGCATTATCTGCTGTGTGAATCTCTCACACCAGTCACAGAGTCCTCCTTTTAGGTACGTTTAAACTGAAAGCGGTGATTTTGTGTCTTGTTTGATCTACCATATCATCAATTCACCGTGTTGTGCAGGAGCGCTGCTTCAAGTTAGCCAGCAGCTAAAAACAGCTAGCCTGGAAAGATAGCGCTCTCCCGCTCTCCAATGCCTCACAGCTTCCTCGGTTTAAATCAGGGCTGTAACTCACATGAACCCACTTCTTTCTTTCACGTTCGTTGCTCGAGAATGCAGTAATACTAAAATATGGTTTGGCGCTGTAACACGGCGCTGCAGACGTGATTTAACACCGCTAAAGTTGTTAGGATGCATGGAAAGAGGTGAGTTCACTGTAGGACAGTACAGTTACACCACTGACCTCGTCACTCACACTCGGTCACAGGAGAACAGATTGCCGGTCGTTCCGCTCAAACAGGGACTGTATAACTCCGCGTTTCAGCCGTTGCTAAAGTATATTTGGCGACCCTTTTTTTTTTACTCGTGGCCCCCTCCCTCTCTAATCAAGTCGAAAAATTCGGAAGTGCGCTCCATCCCTGGTTAGTCACCCTCACTTGAACATTCAGATAGAAGAAAGAGGAACAGAAAGTGTGTATACACCAAAAAAGCAAACAATAGTTTAAGTGATAAACATTCTAAGGTAATTTCAACATCACAGTCACATACAGCATACAGGCAGTCTGCTGGTGCCCTTCAACAAAAGCCAATTCACAGTGTCAAGTCTCTTTTTTTTGGTATTTAATGGAATGGAATTTAATGGTAATAAGTTCAAGCCAGGGTCAAAATTCCAGTAAAGTTGAAACAGCAATTTATCTGCATGACACCTAGCACAATAATGGGGAAATAATTGTGAGGGCTTATGTTTTTCAGAGGCTGAAAAAATGTTCATATACCAAAGAAAAGCAGCATGTAAATGTGCGTGTTCCAGTAAAACTCCATTCAAGGACTGCATGTGTTAATGATGCAAAGGCCAAACATTACCGGTACAAGTATCCCGATAACATTCTTGGCTTTATCACCCCTCAAGGACAAAAATTTGCATGGCCAAAATGATGAACCCCAAGCTAAACCACCACCCCCCCCAGACACACAACGACACACACTCAAAACTGCACCCTCTCAACCAAAACCACCCAACCCTGACATTCAGACTGAAGTGCCACCACTGATCTTGTTTAACTCTCCAAAGCTACAGCATGTAGTGGTCAGAGCACATTCCAGCACACCTGTACTATTTACCTCTGCAGAACACCTGTGCTTCTCACAGGCAAGTATGATAAGCTCTGATAAGGCATGGTAGAGTTAAAGCATGTGAATCAACAGCTTACTTACTACAAACTCATTCCAACACTTAAAATAACTCCAAGCAAAACACATTGCATTACAGCAGTGTGAAAAAGGCATCTGGAAGAGTAGATTTAACATGGAACGTTAGAACCAATAATAACCAATTATGACTATTCTTAATAAAGTATGAAGTGTTAATGTTTATATTGTAATTGTACTCTACGTTTACTGTCTATACATATCTACTTTATATCTACTTAAATGAAAATACTGTATGTAGATAAGGCAATATTTATTAAATGTTTTAAAAATTGTGTTTACACTGTCAGCAACTTTTTCATCACACTCTCACCAAACCCCTGCAACTTCACCACAGTGCCCAATGTTTTCTTAATAAACAAGTAAATATAAACAAATAAACAAACAAAAAGTTGCTAGCGGTAATCACAGGTGTCCAAGCGAGACATTGCACACACAGCCTCATAAATGGCTCACGAAAACCCACATAGGAAATTTAACCCAGAACTTTCCGATCTATCAATTAGCACCTTGGAAACACAACAGAACTCCATGAAATACAAACATTTATAAAGATTACCCTCTTGCACTACAAAACCAAGTTTTGAGCCCACAATCCAGATTCTAACCCAGTATTTTGTGATGTTTTCTTTGCTCCAACACACACAGTTCACCTCAGGGAGGGCTTGTTCTTTAGTTTATTTGTATTGGCTATGTTGGAAGTAGGAGAAGCTAATAAACTTAAGAGAATGACTTAAAATTTAGGATGATTTAATAATTATGTTTTTAATTTGTAAAATATAATT